GATCCGAGTCAGCTGCGTGGACGCAGGGAAATACCACAGGTGTGGATTTCACAGTACCACGCAGAAGAATTAAATTTCAGTATCACTGATTGCAGTGCTTGAAGCAATGAGCAGAATGTAACAACCACTATACATTTGTTTTTTTAGGATGCTTGGAATTTCAAACTAAAAAAGAAGACAATAATTTCTCTTTTTTTTTCAAAATAAAGGTAAGGCTTTTTATTTACATGAATGCAAGGTAGAATAAAGCCAAGTCCATATGGAAATTATAGAGTTAGGTCTTGCTTGTTTACACAGGAACATTACAAATTATTACAGTTTGTGAAAGAATACATAAAAGCAGAGTATTTCGGGTGTTGCCCCTACTGGCTCACTTGTCCATGCCTCCCCAGTTGCAACTTGAAACATATTCATGGCCTTCCCCACAGACCCCGTACTACACATTTCTCCTCTTATGCTAGACTAGACTATATGTGAACAACAAGGAATGTACAATAAAAATAAGAGTGTACACTGTAAACAAGGTTTTTTGGTTTGTTTTTTTTAAAAAAGAAGAGGAATAAAGAAGACTGTGGAATCAAAAGTGTTATACAGATGGTGTATTTCTTCTAGCTAATGACTGGAGCCTCAATAAAGTTGACAAAACAGAGAGGAAATATGTGGGAATGTGGCGTGTTCAGGAAGAAGTTGGTTTGTCTTTGAATGCAATTTTCCTGCTCCTTGGCAGGGGGTTGGACTGGATGGCCCATGAGGTCTCTTCCAACACTATGATTCTACTGCTATTAGCATGGCACTATTGCATATCTGAGAAGGACTACACTCAAGGAAGAAGAGGTCTCTGGACCTGGCACTGTTTTAAGTCCACATTACCAACTGGTTGAATATAATGTAGTAGACATGAAGAACATCAAGGCCCCTTCTACACTGCCATATAACCCAGATTATCCAAGCAAATAATCCACATTATCTGCTTTGAAGTGGATTATATGAGTCTACACTGCCATTTAATCCAGTTCAGTGCAGATCATCTGAGAATTATATAATTTTGTCTGATTATGTGTAATTCAATTTATTGATGTCAGGTTTACATGATCTTAGGTCTTAATTTGATGTTAGGATTTAATGTTACTTTTCTGAGATTTTTTGTTAGTATCGTGTGTTTTATGTAGGCATTGAATGTTTGCCATTGTTATGCGGGAATCCGCCCCCGAGTCCCCTCGGGGAGATAGGGCGGAATAAAGTTTTTTATTATTATTTGAAACACAACAAGATGGGTCCACAGCAGACAAGAACACTCTGCTGGCGGTTGTATTGGATCACACGTTGGACACTTCCCAAATGTCTAGGACTGTGTGATGTATCGGTGAATAATGAGTGCAGATCCCAGCAAGGTGGCTTTCTGCAGCTGGCAGATGGTAATTTTGTCAGCATCAATTGTGTTTAAGTGCAGGCCAAGGTCTTTAGGCACTGCGCCCAGTGTGCTGATCACCACTGGGACCACCTTGACTGGCTTTTGCCAGAGTCTTGATCTTTAAATTCTCATATCATGTCATCTTTTCCAGTTGTTTCTCTTCAATCCTGCTGTCACCTGGGATTGCAACATTGACGATCCATATCATCATCATCATCATCATCATCATCTGGATTTTGCATGGCAGTGTAGATCTGGCCTAAGTCTTCTTTTCTTTAACAGCCATGTTGTACTTTTTTCCTGGAGGAAAGTTACCTCCCAATTTAAAATGCCAATGAGTAAAATGCTCTATGGTGCATCTAAGAAATGCTGTATGGGTTATGTGCAGGGCAGAGAAGAACCACACATAACTCAAGATGCACCACACTATTTTGTTTTTAATTATTTAGGATAACAACCAATCCTCTCTTGGTAAACAGAGTTTTCCTTGTTCTAATAATAACGTGGCTGCAGTAACTGGAGACTTTGCTTCTGCATCTGCTGTTTAAAACTGTTGGCTGTGAACCGAAAACAAACTATAGATTATTATTTAAAGTTTTTGCATCCATTAAAAAGTGTGTGGTCCAGCCGAAGACAAATGACCAGGGTTATTTTAATTCACAGCCCATACTTCATATTTGTTCCACACTCATTAAAAAAATCCTTTTAGGTACATTAGCCATTGGCCTTGACTCCAATAGTTTTATTAGCAATTTCTTGACAAGTTGTTATTGACTTCCTCGGGAAGCTCCCTACAGCAAGACCCGAAGCCCTGTCAAGGAACAGAAAACGTCAACGGATTTCTCAGCAGAACTTGACTCAGACCCGGCTCCGTGTTTTCTAATTTGTGACAAGACAGTTGTTAAAGAAATGGCATCTTTTGTACAACAAATCTAAGCAGCACATCATATTGATCCAAAGGAAGAAATCATATCTGTTTTTTTAACAAGGGAATGAATGCAGACATCGACTTCTTCCCAGAATGTTCCAGCAAACCTGCCTGGCGGTCAATGCAGACGGCTGCCAAAACCCTCTCCCTTCCTTGCCTTCTCCCCACTCCTACATTATTTTTTTTTGATCAACATGGAATTGTTAATCCAGACTGTCAAGCAGAAATCTTTAGCTTATTCTGCTCCAGTACCCTGTCGAGTTGATAACCTTTTCCTGCGACATTTTCAAAGGTGACTTCTGCCGCTCTATGCATTTCAGCAACTGGATCTTGAACACGTTTACACAAAGGCCATTTTCCATGCGGCTGATAATACGGCTGGGATATGCCTTTGCATTTGCCATTGGCCCGACTCATGAAGATGATGAGTTAAGGAATTCAATATTATTATAGATGCATGTCTGATAATGCCTCTAGAGGACAGGAAGGCTGTCAGGCCTCGACCTGGGTGTGTTCTGTAGGGTTAACCTAGATTCAGATTAAAGTCTTCCAGGGCTGACAAAAGTTTGACCCACCAGTTCACACATTATATCGTTCTGCAACAAACCTCATATGTAATTTCTGCTGAGCTGATACTTAACACACGTAGCTCAGTTCACACCACCCAGCCACTCTGGGGAGGACTTGAATTGGACACTGAGTGACCTCAATTTCAAGACAGGTCAAAACGACACAACCCCCATAGCCTTTGCAAGTAAAACAAATCATGTCAATCAACAGCCACTCTTTCTTAACACTCTTCACTTCGCTGTATCAAGCAAATAAGTGAGATTGGAGAGGAAAAGTCATTTTGAAGAGGCTGAGAAAGAGCATAAGAGAGCAAGAAAGAGAGAGTGAGCACACACTGTGGTATGCATGCAATTATATTTGCTTTCTTGCATTGGTAAAAAAAAATTCAGAGTATAATATCAATAGTATGGAGATATGAATCAATATTACTCTATTTGCCACAAGTCTCTGTAACAACACCGGGCAAGCTCTTACATCCCAAGCAAAATCCAGAGAGGTTCTTGAGGGCCATATTTCAGTATTTCAGTATTTTATGTGTATTTTGTTTCATAATCTTCAACTATGCCAGTCATATTTGGCATGATGCTTTTAAACATACAGGGCATTTCACATGTCCTGTCATTGTTTTTACAACAACTCATTATTTTTCATTGTCTGGAATCCTGCTGGTGAGTTCCAGTTAGACTGGATCACTTGTTCAATGCTGAGCCAACATGCAGGGAATGCAATGGCTTGAATAGCTTTGTTCCAATTGGGATTAACAATAAGTTAAATATCTCCACCCCTTAATTTTTTTACCTTAACAAGTCTGGGGAGTTTATCACACAACAGTGTTATACTGCAATTGCACTGTGCAAATGCCATCTTTGTCTGGAATGTATTGCACAAGTCATCAAAAGAATTGCTGTACATTTCTTCTCTGTTCTCCAGCAATGTTTTTAACATTTTTAATTTTGTTTCTTAAAGGAAGCGGAGTAGTGCAACAGCACAATTCCAGTTTAATCCTACAAAAGCTTACTGCTGAGAAAAAATAGGGGTTCGGGAAAAGTTTAAGGAGTAAATATACCAATGTTTAAAGAACAATATACCAAAGCAGAACCGAGCAAGTGTTGTTTCATGCAACAAAGCATAAAAACACAGACTTGGTGTCCAGTTGCAGCAGTATGTCTATAGTAAACAATACAATAAATACAATATGAGCTGGGAATTCATGCTCTAGTTTATTTTATTGTAGCCACATATGTCTGCCTACAATAGGAAAGGTAAACAGCAGCTACCTCCAGAATCTCTTGCATGGATAGCAAAACAAAGGGAAAAGTTGAAAGCAAATAAGCCTGCCCGAGTAGCAACCTACAGTATGGTTAAAACATAATTCTGTATGCTTGATCACCAATATGGAAATTGTAAGTGAAGATTGGTGGGGAAAAAAACTTTTCTGGTTGCATTTTGGAAGAAGCTTTTAGGTGATTTTTAGAAAATTCAAAATTCAGTGTTTTCTTATCATATGTTGTTGCTGAATAGGTTTTCCCAAAGTGCTATAAAAGATAAAATGTTGCTTCAGTGAAAGATTGCTCAGCCAGAATGCTGGATATCTGAACTACTAAATAAACTGCAGCCTTCATTTCAGCAAGAAATAGGGTAAATTTCCACAATACTACTTGTATTTGTCATTATAGGAAGCCAGTCCGAAGGATGAACAGTTAACCATGGTTCTATTTAAAGTGAACTAATTTAAAGTGCAAGCAAATTCAAATCCACTAAACAACAATACCGTTGTTGGGCCACCTCAAAAAATACAAGCTTTCAAACCTCTGCTGGCTTCTTCATCAAGAAAAAGGTGTTTTAAAACTATATGGGAGAATAAAAGTGATGACGCTAGAGTCATAGATCAACATTTGGTATCAGATCTACATTTGGAGAGAGGGATACTAATAGATTTGCCCTGACCTGTGCATGCTTACTCAGAAGTAAATCTCACAGAGTTCTAACCTAATTCCCTGTAAATGCAACTGGACTGACAACCTCAATTTGTTTTACTTCATTTGTAAAATTTCTAAGTTTTTTTTCTTTTTGTTCCTTTAAAAAAAAATACTTTCATCTAAACACACCTACACCACACATTTGGCCCCTTGACTTCCAGAGTTGTTGGCAAATTGATTCCCAATTCTCTTTTCTGCACTATTGTCTTCCTTCCATTTTCAAAGTTGACTTGAGGGTGGATGGAGGTATTTCTCCCTTCTTCCAGTTATGGTCCAAGGAAATTGCCATCAAATGCTGATGTAACAGTAATCTTTGTGTCTTGGAAGGTGACAGGAGAGCGATGGTGGCAGACAACTGCCGGGATTCATTTCAAGCCATCTAGAAAGATGAGGCTGGGAGGGGATTCAGATGGCTGATTTCCTTTGACTTGATGAGCATAAATATTCACATGTGAACATCTTTTTGGATGCATTTAAACCAATACAGTTTCCAGAGGGTGGTCAGTGAAAGGGAAAAAGCATAGCAGCATTTTAACATATCCTGTGCAGTACATGTGATGCTGGAACAAAATGGCTGAAGGTTTGTAGCAGTATTTATCTTAAGTTTTTTAGACATGTGGCATGGCTAAAAAACATCAATAGAACTTGTCTGAAGAAAAATACTAGGTCTGAAGAAAAACACTGCAGGCTCTACTCATCTCTTGCTTTCCTGAGAGTCATGCATGATACTGAGGTATAGTCTATGGCACGTCCATTTCATGTAGAAAGTTTGCCAATAAACACAGCAAGGATTTGCTGTGGTGTGTTTTCTGGGCTGTATGGCCATGTTCCAGAAGAATTCTCTTGCTTCAGGAATACTTCTGGAACATGGCCATACAGTCCGGAAAACACGCAACAACCCAGTGGTTCTAGCCATGAAAGCCTTCGACAATACATACAGCAAGGATTCTCTATTTCTTCTGATTTCAAAAACACATCTGGAAACTAAAATGAGGATTCCTAAAGTGAACAAGAATGGTGTTGCGAGCTCTCCTTGGAGCAGTGAACAAAGGCTGATTGCAACACTAGCTACGTAGGCCAACCTTTTTTTTCCTGGGAGGCCTTCTACATTGTTAATTGCTTCATAGCAGGCAGGAATAAATCATGTGGAGACCCACCACCTTGCATTACTACAACTATACAAAGGGAAAAGCTTCTCCTTGTCATAAAGCCCTGTTGGAAGCAAGCTGGAAACCTGAATGTTAATCCCATTTCATAGTACAATCTTTACACATTTATGGCATTCTATCTCATAGGAACCATTTTCCTGAACTGGTGACACCTGGATTCCGAAACTGATTAAAAAACAAATATACAAATAAGTCTAAGCCATTTTCCTGTGTAATAAATAGAAAGAGACGTATTGAGTTAGCATCAAGTTGATTCTTGTTTGATGTCCCCAGCCTCTTCTCAACTTTCTCAAGGAAGAGGCTTAGTTTCGTACTTTTTACTTCTATAAGAGCAGGTTCTTTTCCTGCTCCACCTTTACCTCATCACACTAGAGAATGAATCCACTTTAAATCTGGTTGCTGCCTCCTGCAAAATTCTGGGGTTTGTAGTTCAGGGAGGAGCCTTTTAACAGCTTCACTAAACTACAAAACCTAGAATTCTGCAAGAGGCAGAAACTGGATTTAAAGTGGATTCATTCTCTAGTGTGATGCGTACTGAAGTATTTGCATTATTTACTGATCTTGTAGAGAAATTCAAGCACCTCAACGATAGTCCAAACCAAACTTGTCTTTAACCTTTCAAAACTTCTCATAATTTGCACAAGCAGAGAATGTTAAGGCACCAGCTATTTTTTTTTATAAAAAGCATTTAAAGAAAGGCCAGTATGAGCAAAGGGGGGCAGAATGCCTAAATCCACATGATCTCCTCGTAAGGAGCTACTTTGCATTATTCACATAGGATTTGGGAATACTTCTGTGGATGATGGAACATAAACACAGAGTGACTAGAATAGTGACGACTATGATTAGTTACTAGACCAGAATTTAGTTGCTCACATACAAAAGAAGCCTGCTTTTGATGCACTCCAGCAATTAATAGAGGGCTGCATTGCAATCATCATTTCAGATGCACAGTTGAAGAGAACACCATGCAAAGAGCACCCATTGTCCTGCCATGCAGCTGACTAGGGTCATGGATAGATATTGTGCCAGAAGGTAATGTGTGTATATGTGTGTAAACAGCCAACATTGCTGTGATATATTTGATACCTTACAATACTTGTTCTTTCTGAAAAAAGCTAGCAGTGTTCACTCTTGCAGCCTTATTCTTGCTCTGCTACATTCTCCATGATTATGTTTATTTTCCTGCCCCCCTTTACCTTTCCATGAACATTTTGCTCAAATAAACAGCAAGGACTAGCCAAGTTTTATATATGCAACTCCGTGCACTTGAATCCGGCCATGACAAAACAGGAAATGCAAGCACTCCTATTTGCATTAAAGCGAAGGCGGGTCTCTCATGGAACACACAACCTCTGTACTTTTCTGCGTTTACAGATCGTTCTCCCATATACTTTTTAATTCCAAATGGCAGGCAAAGCCAAAATGTTTTCAGTTTTTACACCTTGTGTAGCACGGCCAAATGTTTCATAAATAACGTAAACAAATGTTAGGCAGAACACCGCAGCTGATTTCAAATGATGATACCCCGGCCCCAGTGTGCACTCAAAAGTCTGCAAGAAGCATACATAGCAAACTTGTTGGCTAAGGCCACAGTAAAGGGATTTTCCAGTGTTTATGCTGCTGTTGCCAACCTTACTCGAAGACATATTAACAGTGGATGCATTGATCCCAATCTTATTACTCCAGCCACCGCTCAGGCAAAAAGACCATGTTATTCTGATCCAGTTCTCTGCTTCGTAGTGTCATAGGATCGGACAACTTGAGACTGGGAAACAACCCCATGTTCTTCTTGAGAAAATGCATATCCATCTGAAAAAACAGAGAACAGAAAGAGAGACTTGGAATTCGCTGAGGAACATGGTCTGATTGTTAAAGAAGCCAAAAAAGAACAACCAATGTAGTGTGAGGTTTAGTGTCAGATCCAAGAAATGTTATTTAGTTGGTATTACAAGTCTGGGGGAATCTGTAGTCCAAAAGGTAACTTTTTTTCTAACACTGGTTGAAATAGTAAAGTGAGGATTTCTTAAGCTATCTGCTGTGGAAGACAAGCAATCAAGGACTGAATTCATATTTGTGCCCAATGTTTACCATTGTTTACTTCCTGGAAACTCTCCAGGGACCAGCAGCTGATCACTTATGGACAAGCACCGATCCATACAACACCACTTTGAATTGCATTGGAGTAGTGTACTGGAAAAAGTGAAATCTGTGTTCTTATTTACATGTGGGCATAAATTGCCCAGCATACCGTTCAGGTGTTAATTTGGGGAAAAAAACAAGGGCCAAATTAGACTTGACACAAATCACATTATTAATTAAGTACACAATAAATCCCTTTATCCTTAGATTCGATATCCATGTTTTTACCTATCCACAATGTCTCCAGGAACTGTACTAACTATAAGAGACTATGGTCTCTTCCACACAGCTATATAAAATCCACATTGAACTGGATTATATGCCAGAGTGGATTTAGATAACCCAGTTCAAAGCCAATATTGTGGAGTAAGGTAAAGATTTCCCCTTGACATTAAGTCTAATCGTGTTTGACTCTGGGGGTTGGTGTTCATCTCCATTTCTAAGCTGAAGAGCCAGCGTTGTCCATAGATGCCTTCCAAGGTCATGTGGCCGGCATGACTGCTTGGAGCGCTGTTACTTTCCCACCAAAGTGGTACCTATTGATCTACTCACATTTGCATGTTTTTGAACTGCTAGATTGACAGAAGCTGGGGCTAACTAAGGAAACTCACCCCGCACCCTGGATTCAAACCACCAACCTTTTGGTCAGCAAGTTCAGCAGCTCAGTGGATTATCTGACTTGATATTCTGGGTTATATGGCTGAGTGGAAGGCCCTTAGGACTCTGAAGACTAGGATTTGAATCTCTGCTTGGTCATGGAAACCTATTAGGTGACCTTTTGCAAGTAACAGTCTCTCAGCTTTGAAGAAGGCAAGGACAACCCCCCACTAAACAAATATTTCCAAGAAATCCCATGATAAGGCTGCCTTTGGCTCTCCATAAATTGGAAACAGCCTGAAGTCATACGACAAGTGTTAATCCAACTCTTCTTTTCCTACAATTGAAAGGATACTGCTGTTCCCCCCCTTCTGTCCCTAGATACAAATCTCTCCTACCCTCAAAATATTTTCCGAGAAACAGTGTAACTGCACACTCTCATGATCTTTAAAAACCAAAGAAAGACTCCAGTTAACACTTGCAAGGAGTCCTCTGAAAACTACAAGGTCTTCCCAGCTCCCACTCTCTGCCTTTTAAAAAGCTGCACCTATTATTCCTTTCTGTAGAACAAGCTCTTCATTGTTCAGAGCACTTACAGCTGTCCAAAAGTGCAAGAGCAGAGTGGCGGAAGCAAAAGTGCTAGTCTCAAATTCTTGGCCTCTCCGATCACCCCCAAACTTCTCAGGGGAATACATACATTATCTGATGGCTTGGTGGCTGTTGTGGTGGGAAGTGAAGTTTGTAATATCCTTGAAATATAAGGTTTCTTAGTTTCAGGATGATATCAGGCTAGAGGCAGAAAATAACACGCTAGCTTGCTCTCTGTCTTGATAACCCTTCTGTGACAAGGATTACAGGTCAAAGCTCCCTCTCTGCTAGGGCTACAGCCATGTGTTAATGTGAAGCTCCTCAATACAGCTGCTGGGTGAGTTGCAGATTATACCCACATAATAATTCTACCTTGATATATTTTGAGCACATCTTATAAACCATGCAGATATAAATGTTCTGGAGATGCCTGATGAGGCTATGGTTATGTATGCCTTAGATATCTCCTATTTGGAATACTTTTTGTGTGTGTCAGGAGTGACTTGAGAAACTGCAAGTTGCTTCTAGTGTGAGAGAATTGGCCATCTGCAAGGACATTGCCCAGGAGATGCCCAGATGTTTTACTATCCTGTGGGAGGCTTCTCTCATGTTCCCGCATAAGAAGCTGGAGCTGACAGATGGGAGCTCACCCCACTTCCTGGATTCAAACCGCTGACCTTTCGGTCAGCAGCCCTGCTGGCACAAGGGTTTAACCCATTGTGCTACCGAGGGCTCACGTTTGGATTATTGTAACATGCAGTGAAAAACAGATGAGATGCAAAAGAATAAAAGTGACAGAAATAGGGGCAGGAAACCCAAATGCAAGTGCTCAGCAATTTGTGTGTAGGGACAGGAGAATTGTAATAATCAGTGCAGAGAAGTAGAAAATTACAACAACAGCAGCAGCAGCAACAACAAAGAAGACAGGAGGAGAATAGCAGCAATTCAAGTCGTCTTCCACATGATCTTAGAAATAAAAAGGAAATTTAAGCCAAGAATGGGGATACTGTACGACTAGCAGAGAAACATATTACATGACCAAGAATAAATAAAAAAGAGTGGAAACTATAAAAGAAATGAAAGTAGTGCAAATCCATTTAAGGAAAAACTTGGAGGTCTCTCATTCATAAACGAAGTGAACTTGACTTGAAGGCAGTTAACAACAACAATAATGATAACCTATGGAAGGCTGCCTTTGGAAAATGATCAGAAGCATTAGCCAGTTGGGAATGCTTCAATAATCTAAAATCCTAGCCCTAGCTACTATTCAATTACCATGGGAGGCATACAAACAAATTCATTTCTTCCTTGGGTTGTTGTAGGTTTTTTTTGGGTTATATGGCCATGGTCTAGAGGCATTCTCTCCTGACGTTTCGTCTGCATCTATGGCAAGCATCCTCAGAGGTAGTGAGGTCTGTTGGAACTAGGAAAAAGGGTTTATATATCTGTGGAATGACCAGGGTGAGACAGAGGACTTTTGTCTGCTGGAGCTAGGTGTGAATGTTTCAACTGACCACCTTGATTAGCATACAATGGCCTGACTGTGTCTGGGGCAAACTTTTGTTGAGATGTAATTAGATGTCCCTGCCTGCTTCCTCTCTGTTGTTGTGCTGTTGCAATTTTAGAGTTTTTTTTCAATACTTTTCTTCCTTCCTTGCTGCTGTCTTAATAGCAGCTTTGGGGTGCCAGATTTTAATAGGTTCTAATCAGCTTATCTTGGGAGGAGAAGGAAAGCAAAGTAGGGGAATAGCAACAACACAAGCCTTAAACACTTTTTAGTATTGAGAGGTCCTGTGAATGTGGGAATGGAATCATACTAATTTTGAAAGCTGCCCTGGGTCCCCTTCAGGGTGAGAAGAGTGGGGTATAAATGACATAAACAAATAAATAAATAATAAACATGTGTGTACACACATACTATATACAGTTCTGTACTGGATAGTGGTGGTTTGTGGCCTCTCATTTCCCAACTGCAGATAATTTGGCTCTGAGATGAATTTTGAGACCCTTTATTTATTTATTTATTTATTTATTTACTGCATTTGTTGACCGCCGCTCTCAGCCCTGGGGCGACTCGCGGTGGTGTACAACATATAAAAACAGTTACAAAAAGCACACAATATATCAACAACACCATATTACACATTACTATAAATCACCCTAACAAATCCGCACCGTCACAACATAGAATCATAGCCAGTCTCATAATCCATAATCCGTTCCAGTTGTCATTACCAGGTTCGTGTAGCTCTCAATTAAATGCCTTCTCGAATAGCCAGGTCTTTAGGCTCTTACGGAAAGCCATAAGGGAGGGCGCCTGTCTGATGTCAACAGGGAGGGCGTTCCACAGCCGGGGGGCCACCACTGAGAAGGCCCTCTCTCTCGTCCCCGCCAGACGTGCCTGTGAGGCAGGCGGGATCGAGAGAAGGGCCTCCCCAGACGATCTCAAGGCCCTCGTGGGCTCATAGGCCGAGATGCGGTCCGAAAGGTATTTTGGGCCGGAACCGTTTAGGACTTTGTAGGATAACACCAGCACCTTAAATTGCGCCCGGTAGCAGATCGGCAGCCAGTGGAGCTGGGACAACAAGGGCGTTGTGTGCTCCCTGCGTCCCGCTCCCGTTAGTAACATGGCTGCCGCGCGCTGGACTAGCTGAAGCTTCCGGGCCGTCTTCAAGGGCAGCCCCACGTAGAGAGCGTTGCAGTAGTCAAGGCGGGATGTGACCAGAGCGTGTACCACCGTGGCCAAGTCAGACTTCCCAAGATACGGGCGCAGCTGGCGCACGAGCCTAAGCTGTGCAAATGCTCCCCTGGTCACCCCTGAAACCTGGGGTCCAGGCTCAAAGATGAATCCAGGGTCACACCCAAGCTGCGAACCTGCGCCTTCAAGGGGAGTGCGACCCCGTCCAGCACAGGCTGTAACCCTATACCCTGTTCGGCCTTGCGACTGACCAGGAGTACCTCTGTCTTGTCTGGATTTAATTTCAGTTTGTTCGCCCTCATCCAGACCGTTACAGCGGCCAGGCACCGGTTCAGGACCTCGACAGCCTCCTTAGTAGCAGGTGGGAAGGAGTGACAGAGTTGGACATCATCTGCGTACAGATGACACCGCACCCCGAAACTCCGGATGATCTCACCCAGCGGCTTCATGTAGATATTAAACAGCATGGGGGCCAGTATAGAACCCTGTGGAACCCCACAGGTCAAAGGCTGTGGTGTTGAACAGGAGTCCCCCAATAACACCTTCTGGGTACGACCCTCCAGAAATGACTGGAGCCACTGCAGAGCAGTGCCCCCAAGACCCATTTCCGCAAGGCGCCCCAGAAGGATACCGTGGTCGACGGTATCGAAGGCCGCTGAGAGGTCCAGGAGCACCAACAGGGACACACTCCCCCTGTGTAGCTCCCGGCGCAGATCATCCACTAAGGCGACCAAGACCGTCTCGGTACCATGTCCCGGTCTGAAACCAGACTGTGCCGGATCCAGAATATCCGTGTCTCTCAAGAATACCTGGGGTTGTGAGGCCACCACGCTTTCCATGACTTTGCCCAAAAAGGGGAGATTGGAAACAGGCCGGAAGTTGTCGAATTTAGTGGGGTCCAATGATGGTTTCTTCAACAGCGGTTTTATAACTGCTTGTTTTAAGCACGCTGGAATCTTGCCTTCCCGAAGGGAGGCATTAACCACCACCGTTACCCACTCAGCCAATCCCCCTCTGGCCTCCTTCAGAAGCCAGGATGGGCAGGGGTCTAGGATGGACGTGGTAGGCCTCATTCCTCCAAGTATCTTGTCCACATCCTCGGGTTTCACAAACTGAAAAGAATCCAACAAAATAGGACAAGCAGGTGCTCGTGTCACATCCACAGAGACTGCATTTAACATGGTGTCCAGCTCAGAACGGATCAAAGCGACTTTGTCTGAAAAGTCAGTGCGTTTTCAGTGCGTTTTGAAAGCTTTCATAGATAAAGGAAACCATGGTCTTTGATTTGTGTTTTTCTTATTCAGAGAACAGCTGAGAATGAAAAATCCATATAATGGGACTTAACAGCAAGAAATGCTACCAGTACTAATGTCAAACAGGTGGCGGCATAGGAACCACACTCAGTCAAGTCTTGCTGCTGTCTATTTCCATTAGAATATTTAGGATTGCAAAAATATTCAATATTAATCTGCATCCCAATCTTCCAATTTACTAAAATCTTAACAGTATTTATGACAAGATAAATACATAAAGGTGGATGAAAGAAAGCAAAAGTTTAATGATCACAAAACTTTTAGGAAGCTATAGAAGTTCAACATTTGCTAATTTTCAGAGCATGGCTGTCAAATTGGACTCAAACACTTGTAAGATGTATGTGATAATGATTTGTTTATGTAGGTTAGCATTCATGAAAGGTATTTTCTCAATGACAACTTTCTGAATCAATCGGGCAATAATAAAGAAACCCATAAGGTAAAGGTTTCCCCTGACATTAAGTCCAGTCGTGTCTGACTCTGGGGGTGGTGGCGCCCATCTCCATTTCCAAGCCGAAGAGCCAGCATTCCAACCTTAGGAAATGGGACTACAAAGTGGAATCCATGAAATGCGAGTGTGGAGAAGAGCAAACTACAGACCACCTGCTGCAATGCAACCTGAGCCCCGCCATATGAACAATGGAGGACCTTCTTATAGTAACACCAGAGGCACTCAAAGTGGCCAGCTACTGGTCAAAGGACATCTAATCAACTACCAAGCTTGCAAACCTTGTGCTTTGTTTGTTTGTTAAAAAATGCAATACAACTGTTTGGTTTGCTCCTGACATGATAAATAAATATAAATAAACCATCTTGGAGATTAAGATAATCTGGGGAGGCCCTGCTCTTGGTTCCACCTTCTTCACAAGTGGGGACGAGAGACAGGGCCTTCTCAGTGGTGACTCCTCGGTTGTGAAACTCCATCCCTAGCGATATTAGATCAACCCGTTCCCTCCTGACCTTCAGCAGGAGAGTAAAAGCCTGGCTCTGGGAGCAGACTTCTGAAAAATAATGTGGTGCAGTAATTTTAATGTGGAATATGTACAATTGATTACGGAATGACCTTAGACTCTGATCCCTGGATGGCGTATTTTAACATTGGAATGTATTTAATTATGTTTAATAGGTATTAATTTTAATCCAATTTATTTTTAAGTTAACATTGTATGTTTTAAAGCACTATGTAGGTGCCACATGTAAGCTGCCTTGAGTTCCCCTTGGGGTAGAGAAAGGTGGGATATAAATAAAGTTAAATAAATACATTTTCTGCCTTGATATTCTGGGTTATATTGCTGTGTGGAAGGGACCTAAGTGGCAGCAGAAGTGGAATGCTTTGATTCTCAGCAGATTCAAGCAAAAGCAAACTGCTGGGGTCCCCTCCTAATTTTTGTGTTCTTTCTCATTCATAAACACTTTTGTCATTTTAGCATTCTCTGATATTGTTTAGCCAAACGTGTCCTGGCTTTCATTCATGATATGTCAGAGGATATGCATTCACACATGGTCTATTACTTACGTGACACCCCTTGCTGTACGGAATGAGCACGGAAGAGACTTGGTGGGGTTTTTCTGCCGAGTCTTTTTAACAAGTGGTCACGTTCATTCATGCTATAAACACAAGATCAAACCAAGTGAATCTCAAGATGGGGATAATTACTTTTCAAGAAAAATAAACACAAATAACAGGAGGACATGATGGTGATAGTGCCAGGTCTAAATGCCTTCTTATGTAGTAACCTTCAAACATAAAAAAACACTCTGTATATGAACTTTCATTGCAAGACCTGCATATGTATTTGGTACCAGAGCTGCAGTAAAGAGAAAGGAAAATATAAATATATATAGATAGAATACAATAATTTCTTTTGTCATACTTGCATGCAGTTCAATCAAAACAGACTGCTTTCTTTTTTCCAAACATGTTTTTGTTGTCTACTAAGCTATATGTAAAAGCAGTGTGATCATATACTTGTAACCCACTTTCATTTTATGCACATCCCTCTACCAAGTAAGTTTTCTTCTGCCAGGAGGCTGAAGCACAAACCCCCAGATTGGAAATTTAGTGACTGGATCATAGCTCTGCACTTTTTTTCCACCTTCCACAAACTTGCCATTGCCTAGAAGTGAAAGGATGACTTTTTGGGGATGGGAAGGGAGGGAGTTTAGTTATTTGTGTGATGAATAGGATAGTTCCAACTTCCAGAATGACCAAAATCTCGCTGCAAAAGACAACATTTTTGTGTTCTTTGGTCATTCCAAGCTATTATAAATATAGATCTAGAGATTAAAAAAAAATAAAGAACAAAAATATCTCGTTCCAAACGGATCCCCGAATCAAAAAAGGTATTTTGGATTTTAGACTCCGATTTTAATAGGCATGTGTTAATCAATTGTTTTATATTTTAATATTTTAATGTATTGTTGATTGTTTATTATAATGACACCGTATGGTGTATTACTGAAGCTGCCCTGAGTCTCCCCTCGGGGGTGAGAAGGGCGGGGTATAAATATAGGAAATAAATAAATAAATAAATAAATAAATAAAAATCCTTATGTAGGCTTAGGTTGGACCTATGCCTGCATAAATCACTAATAAGATGCTGCCCCCCCCCCTTTTCAGGTCAGGAGTGACTTGAGAACCTATAAGTCACTTCTGGTGTGAGAGAATTGGCCGTCTGCAAGGACACCGCCCAGGGAATGCCTGGATGTTTGATGTTTACTGTCCTTATGGGAGGCTTCTCTCATGTCCCTGAATGGGGAGCTGGAGCTGACAGATAAAGCTCAACCTGCTCTCTACAGATTTGAACTACTGACTTATCGGTCAGCAGTCCTACTGGCATAAGGGTTCAACCCATTGCGCCACTGGATGTTGGCCCACCAAGTGATCAAAGGTAGTGATCATTCTGATGTACACTGTTTACAGTTTCAGAGGCAGAAGGCTTTTCAATCTCTGTTTGCTGGGTGACATGAATGGAAAGGTATGGTACTATAAAGCCCATATGCCTCTAGTGTGCTTCCCATGGACATTCTGGTTGGTCACTACAATACACATAACATTAAATGAGAAGGTCCTTTAGCCTGAGTCAACAAGCCTTTTTTATGTTTGTTTGTGAAACATTAGTGGGACCCACATTTACTTTCATACATATGAGTCCCTTTCCCTAGAGTGGGACCCAAGGTTTCTCTCTGAAAAAAAAAAAACCAATGTAAAAACCTAAACAATAAAAATATTAAAACAATTAAACATCTCCACAATAAACAGTTTAAAATCAATTAAAATACACAAAAGTGTTATGCTGGTATGATGCCTTCATATCAAATGTCACTTTCACCAGGAAGGGGGGTTGAGGGATATAGATTTAGGTGTAACTCTGTAACCCTTCATGAGAGTGGTATTCTTGAATGACTCACACACAGTAAAAACATTGCACAGCTGGAAAAGGCAACCAAAACCATCAGGAAGCTGAGGTAACTTGCTTATGAAGAAACCTGAAATTCTTTACTGAGGGTGTATTGTTTCAAAGGGAACAGAGCAAAGGAAGAATGGAATGGACAGAAACAAGTTTTTTTCTTCTCTAGAATATGGGATCAACGAATGAAATCAAATACTAGAAACCCACTATGAAAAATGCAAAAGAAAGGAGAAATGTCTTTACAAAACATGTAGTAAATTGTGAAATTTTCTACTTTGCAGCTACACTATACAATTAATGTAGTTTGACACCACTTTAACTGCCATGGCTCTATGCTATGGAATCCTGGGAGATATCATTTAGTAAGGCACCAGTATCCAAGGACTTTGTAAAATGACAACTCCCATGATTTCAAATCATTGAGTCATGAAACACCCTACGAAATCAATGGAGTCACCATATACTGACAGGTGATTTAACAGTAATACAAAGTTGCCACTGGCTACTCATTAGATTAATAATTGTTAGAAGTTACTTTTGGGTAACAATGTGGGGCAACAACACTGGATTTTAAGTGGTTGTTACTTATTCCTATGGATGCAGGACTTTTTTTGTGTCAGGAGTGATGAGAAACTGTAAGTTGCTTCTGGTGTGAGAAAACTGGTCATCTGCAAGGACATTGCCCAGGGGACACGTAAATGTTTTGATGTTTTACCATCCTTGTGGGAGGCTTCTCTCATGTCCTCACATGGGGACTTGGAGCTGAGAGAGGGAGCTCATCCGCACTCTCCCCGGATTCGAACCTCTGGCCTGAGGGAAATGTTCCATCCATATTATATGCCTTAATGTCACATGAAGTGGACAGATTCCCCCCACATTATCTTTAAACATTTAATTAGGTTCTGCTCCACAGAACTCTATTTCTTGCAGTCCAAGCTGATCAGCAACAGAATAAAATGATGCAGGGAATGTGGTGGTTCCAGCCAGACTTTTCAAGGAGCATGAGGTCTCAGAGTGTCATTTCCCATAGACTCCCACTCCCCAATAATGCTTATAAGTAACAATTCACTGCAATGAGTAATATTTTCTCCTCCCATCTCAATAAGAAACAGAATAATCTGAAGTGGGAACAAAAATTATGAAAAGATTACTTTACCAAATGGATGTTCTGATGAAAGCAAATCATTTCTAGTATTAGACATAGTATGTCCATTGCTGGGGAACATCAATGAAGATATACCCTGTTTATGGGTGTCGCATAGGCATTTTATGAACCACTGTAAGAAGAAACTGACTAAATTGACCTTTGGTCTGATTAAGCATGGTATTTCTTCTGTTATCAGGTTCACTAAGTGGTTAAATATCAAATTTCCTTTCCTCCTAAGAAGAACAGTAAACACAACACAGAAGTATTCTTAGCAAATCATGCCAAGACTATTGCAGTATCCCTAATCTTGTAATCTGACTTTCAGAACACAAGGCAATGCAAATACACTTCTCCTCAGGATGTCATGCAAACCGCTCCCCCCCCCCCCACAAGTGAATAAAAGCCTCAGTCCTAAATAACTGATCTGTATATGCCTGTGTTGTCTCTTGTACCTGTACAAGGCAAGCAGGTGCAAAGGGTAAATACAGGAACCTGGAACTACCATGTTGATTTGTGAGTTTACAGATTTTGCAACAGCCGCCCACAAATAGTGGAATGACCTGCCAGAAAAGCTGTGACTGCTTGATACACTGGTTGTATTAACTCTATTTGTACCCCACCTTTCTCTACCCCGAAGGGGACTCAAGGCAGCTTTACATATGGCAACTATTCAATGCTTTTGAACAACAAACTGTTAAAATAGAGTTAAAGATTTAAAATTAAAATTAAATGCACATTAAAAACATATAAAGCATTACAATCACTATTAAAAATCATGCCAACCACAGTAATAATCCGGGGCTGTTCCAAAAGTCATTGCACATAATTCCATAGCTATTATTGTACTGTAGTTAATCTCCAAATGCTTGAACCCAGAGCCAGGTTTTCACTCTCCTTCCAAAGGCCAGGAGGGAGGGTGGTTTTTAAATTATGAATTATTTTTAATATGTATGCTTTTAAAACTGATGTTATGCTCTTTTAATGGATTGTTTTTTAAATTGTTGTTCATGTTTTAACTGTATTTGAATATCATCACTATCACCATCATCACTATCTCACTGCACCAGCAATATCCTCTTATAATAGTATAGTAGACAATGATAGGCACATTGTGAGAGACAGAACAGCCTGTGGACAATTGCTACCAATACACTAATAAACTAAAGCTATGACATTTTAAGGCAATATAATGCAATTCTAACAATGCCACTGTGTTATCATTGATCATTTTGCTTTGCTTGCCTGTGAAATGTGCCTAAAGGCAGCCCAATAAAATTACAGCAATGTCATTTTACTGAGAAGGCAACTGAATTCCTGAATGCGCTTCTCACTGAAAGTGATGGCGTGAGCCCCCGCCAGGTAATTGGTCTGCACTGCAGCAGGGAGTTCCGCAGTTCCGGAGAGCAAAG